GGGGAGGATAAATTAACCATGAATTGGAAGATGTTCTTGATGAATTTGTTATGCATTGACTAGAGAGTATTTTGAGTATTTACCACCTATCACAAGTATCTTCATGGGGGCAAAATCAATAGAATATAAACCTACTGATGTTACAAATCAATCATAAAATCTATCACAGGCAAACTTGACTAGTACTGTTATTCCTCTACCTCATCTTCTTCAAACCACCAGAATTAGAGACAGCATGTGATAAGCATTTTTCTTTGGGTGTCATCTCATGAATTTGATTTAATTAAGCCAGTCTCAATAGAGTTAAACAAGAGAATTGTAGGTTCAGCTCTGTCTCAGCGTGGTGTTACTTGTTTTTTGTTTTGTTCACTGTTTCTTCAATTATAAGTTTCCAAGCTTGTAAGTAGCATTTTTTAAATTAATTAATTAATTATTTTTTAATATATCTTTATTGTTCAGATTATAACAATTGTTCCTCTTTCTTTCCCCCATAACTCCCCTCCTCCTGGTTTCACCCCACCCTTTGCCCTTACCCCCCCTCCCACACTGTCCTTATCCATAGGTCTACAATTTTAGTCCAGTCTCTTTCCTCACTTCCCACACTCTTTCCCCCCTGAGAATTGGCAGTCCACTCCCTTTCTATTTCCCTGATTCTATTATATTCACCAGTTTATTCTGTTCATCAGATCTTTTAATTCACTTGATTTTTAGATTCACTTGTTGATAGATATGTATTTATTGTTCATAATTGTAGTGTTTCTCCTTTTTCTGCATCCCGCATGGAAAAACGACAGGTTCCTGAAGGGAGGAGCTGGGGATTAAGAAATTAGAGAAAGAAAGAGAAAAGACAAGAGGCAGAAATAGATTCATAAAGCTGGGAGATAGGTGGGTGCCATCTCTTTGATGGAGAGACAGTCACACTCACTACAGACAACACAACATATTTATTGGCTTCCAAAGGGGAGTTTAAGGTCAAAAGGAGTTTCAGGTGTGCCCAGATCTTATTCATCAAAATCTGGGTAAGCTCCTTATTTTTTGGTACAAGATTTAGCATATCAAGACCTGGGTGAGTCAAGGTCCTATTTGTTCCTCATTCCAAGATTAAGAAATCAGTACTGATAACAGGATTCTGCCAGTGCCCTTGGGCTCAGCTGATAAGAATTAAAAGAATGTCCATGTGCCTTCTCAGGCAGCTCTCTACAGATAATTTTTATCTTTACCTTTTTTCCTCTTCTTAAAGAATACCTTTCAGCATTTCATTTAATACTAGTTTGGTAATGATGAACTCCTTTAGCTTTTTCTTATCTGTGAAGCTCTTTATCTGACCTTTAATTCTGAATGATAGCTTTGCTGGGTAGAGTAATCTTGGTTGTAGGTTCTTGCTATTTATCACTTTGAATATTTCTTGACACCCCTGTCTGGCCTGCATAGTTTTTGATGAGAAATCAGCTGACAATCCTATGGGTGCTCCCTTGTAGGTAACTAACTGTTTTTCTCTTGCTGCTTTTAATATTCTCTATTTGTCTTTTGCTCTTGGCATTTTAATTATGATGTGTCTTGGTGTGGTCCTCTTTGGATTCCTTTTGTTTGGGATTCTGTGCGCTTCTTGGACTTGTAAGTCTATTTCTTTCACCAGGTAGGGAAAATTTTCTGTCATTATTTCTTCAAAAAGGTTTTCAATATCTTGCTCTCTCTCTTCTTCTGGCACCCCCATAATTTGGATGTTGGTTCACTTGAAGTTGTCCAAGAGGCTCCTTACACTATCTTCATATTTTTGGATTCTTCTTGCTTTTCCACTTGGGTGTTTTTTGCTCCTTCCTATTTCAACTCTTTGACTTGATCCTTGCAATCCTCTGGTCTTATATTGGATCTCTGTATATTATTTTTTATTTCAGTGTATACTTAATTTCTAGTTGGTCCTTTTTCATATCCTCAAAGGTCTCACAATATTTATCGGCCTTTTCTAGGAAATTCTTGAAAAACCTTATAACCATGCTTTTGAACTCTATATCCAGTAGTTTGCTTTCCTCCATTTTTTTTCATTTGTGACTTATTTCTTTGTCTCTGCATTTTGGCTGCTTCCCTGTGTTGATAGAGTGGCTTTGTGTGCTAGGTGTCCTATAGGGCCCAATGACTTGCCTCTCCAATTACCTGAGGTGGACACTCTTGGTGTACCCCTTTGTGGGCTGTGTGCACAGTCTTGTTGTAGTTAAGCCTTGACTGTTGTTGGTATCACTGGAAGGAATTGATCTCCAGGCCAATTGACTGTGAGGATCACCTGTGTTTAAGATGGGAGAACTTCTGTGTTGGAGACACCCTTATGAGGCAAGACTTGCTTCAGTGGGGCTTTGGTTCTCACTGAGTCTGCCCCCTGAGTGTGTCCCTTAGGATCTGAGGAGTTGTAATCTGAATGTCCCACGCTGTACCCTGGGTACACTGGCTCTTGGATCTTCAAGGAGGTGCAAATTTAGCCTCTGCCTAAGACCCCACCCAGCAGGAGCTCAGAGAGATCTGCAGATTCCTCTTCTTTGTTTGGGTTTTGGAAGTGCCCAGATGAGGCCCTGCTGTGAAATAATGCAAGCTGCTGGGGGGCATTGGGCCTTCTTTTGGATGTTCTAGGTCTCACTGACTCAACTGCAGTTGGTTAGGTAAGTTTAGAATTCAAAATACCAGGCCATTCATATGCAAAAGCCTCTGCACTCAGCTTGGATGGGCTGGAGTCTCAGGGCAGAGCAAATAGCAATGGTTATATGGGGTGGGATCTCAGGGCAGAGCAAACAGCCATGGCTTTCAGTTAGCCCTGCCCGTAGAGGCCCCTGGGTCTCAGTGTCCTGTGGTAATCGGATAATTGCTGTAGCACCTCTGAGAGAAAGCTGCCCTTGAGTTTCACCTGCTGCCAGACAGTCCAGTTTCTCCCCTTATGAATCTGGGTCCCCAGAGTCTCACCCAAAACTAAAGTTCAGAGCAGTCAGGAGCTTTTGTCTCCCTCCAAATTGAGAAAGCCAGCTGCATACTCCGTTGACAGCGCTCTCCTAGTGCGTGCCTCTGTACCTCTGCCTTTATTTCTGCAGCTCCTCTGAGTTTCAGTGTGCTTTTCTCTTTCCTTCTAGTTGTAGAACTTCCACTCAGCCAGCCTTCTTGTGGTTCTAGATGATGTATGTTTGTCTTTTAGTTGTAGTTTTGAAATTGTTGTATGAGGCAGAAGTTCAGATGTTTACCTATGCCACCATCTTGGTTTCTCTCTGTAAGTGACATTTTAATAACAGAATAGAAAAAAAGTGTTTGCATTTATCTTATCCCTTTGTGTGTGCATTATACAATCAGCACAGAATCTTTCTTCCATAAAAAGAGAATTTTTATAAATCCAGTGTTTCTTCTTTCTATAACAGTTGACTCTTGAAACTATGGGAGTAAGGGGTATTACCCCCTATACAGTTGAAAATCCAGGTATAAGCTCTAGGTGGTTTGGCTCAGTGGATAGAGCATCAACATACAGGAGACAGTTGATCAATGATTTTCTCTTATCATTGATGTTTCTATGAAATCAATAAAAATATTTTTTAAAAAAGAGAAAATTCAGGTATAACTTTGAATCTCCAAAAGACTTTACTAATAGCCTACTATTGACTGGAAGTTTTAATGATAACATAAACAATCAATTAAGACATAGTTGGTATGTACTCCTATATAATAATGAGTTAATATGCTAATTAGACCAAATGGTAGAATGACTTCCCGGAACAACCAGTGGGTGGGGGGTGGGGCTGCAAGGCAGCCGGGGCACCACTCTCTGCGGGGAGATCAATGTGTCGGGGGGGAGGGGAGAGGGCCTCCGCAATGAATCATCCCACAGAGGGTGGTGGCAGTTGGGGCTGTGAGGGCCTAGCCCCTTGTATGAATTCCATGCATCGGGCCTCTAGTATGTATTATATATTGTATTCTTACAATAAAGTAATCTAGAGAAAAGACAATGTTATTTAAAAAGTCATAAAGAAGATAAAAATATATTTATAGTGTTTTTTAAAAAATATTTCTTTATTGATTTCAGAGAGGAAGGAAGAGATAGAGAGAGATAGAAGCATTAATGATGAGAGAGAATCATTGATCAGCTGCCTCCTGCATGCCTCCACACTGGGAATAGAGCCCACAACTCGGGCATGTGCCCTTGGCCAGAATCAAATCTGGACCCTTCAGTCCACAGGCCTACACTCTATCCACTGAGCCAAACTGGCTAGGGCTATTTACAGTACTTATTAGAAAAAAAATACATATATAAGTGGACCTGCACAGTTCAAACTCATGTTGTTCATGGGCCCTAAAAAGTTTGTTTCAATCAAATGGTTTGTTTTGCTCAACTCAAGTTGTGCAACCAAGCAAGACATTTTCTGAGTGGGTGGCTGGGCCTAGCTCTGATTTATTTCTAGTTAAATCAAGTAATACCACAAAATCCATTAGAAATTACTATCCTAATATCCTAAAGCTCCTAGAAGTCCCATAGGTTTCCTTGGAATGAGTGGCAGCCCATCTATTTTACCCATGAGAAAACTGAGGCTTGGAAGTTGAGTAACTTGACAAAGGCCAATTATGAAATGAAAGGCAGGATGGAAATCTAGGTCATTTTGACATCAAAGTGCATGGCTTTTCTTCTTACTGTGCCCTGCCACCCTCTCTACATTTGTGTAGGACAGCAGTTTTTAACCGATGCACCATGGCAGGCACACTGATGTGCCACAAGGAATTTTCAAAACTGCAGTACCTGACTCTTTTCCTTTTGTTGTCAAAAAAAAAAAAAGAAAGAAAGAAAGAAAGAAAACAACCAATACAACAATAACCATCTGGTATAAATGAATCAAAATTATATTTACTTTTTTATTATCAGATCGGCAAAAAATAGAATATATTTTTTGATGTGCCACAGAATTTCAGTAATTCATTTATGTGTTTCATGACATGAAAAAGATTGAAAATAGCTGATGTAAGAGAAAGTCTGCAATCATCCTCCACCGAGATGAGAAGAAACAGCTAAACACACGCTACCCAGAGAACTATATTCATTAGCCTAAGTGTCTCTTTGAGTAGGCTGTCAGCTCTTGTGGCACTAGAGTTTTTAAACACTTTGTAAGTTTTGTCTTTGACATGATGGAGTTTAGGGATATAAGCAAGATTATAGTAGGGAAACATGAAAAGAACAAAAGTAAAATTTTAAAAAAAGCTGTTTTGTCTTAAGCCAACGAAAGAAGAATAAAGATGGCAGCATTGCATATTCATTTGTCTCCAGGGACCTGTAACTTCCCTCTGCTTCTGGAGTGCTGGTTGCTCTGTCTGCCAGTGATGGGTGTTCCCAGGCCTCAGGTGTCAAGCTGCTGGTAGGTAATAGGTAGAGTCAGCAGAGGCAGTACTTTCCCTTCGGGAGATTAATTTCTTTTATTTTTCTCTTCTTAAGGATAGGAAAGTAGTTTCACTTAGTAGCTATGCTTTTTTCTTGGGAAGAACATTTCTGATATGATAAAACAGCTATATTTGCTGTTGAGAACAGAGCAATGAACTTATTAGATCAAGGAATTTCTCATAGGTTGATAAGGTCTTTGAACTTGCTGAAATTTCAGAGGTCATCTAGTCTACCCCCAACCGGTATAGGAATGATTTTCATAATAGTGTTTTTCACACTGTAGGTTATGACAGACTAGAGCAGCATGAAATTTCATGAGTGGTGACCATAATTTTAAAAAATGTAATAGAATAGAAAGCATTATAGAACATGATGTGAGGGTGCATACTTCTTTAATGTTTCAATTGATGTGCATCTACATGCTTTCAATGGGTGGCTGTTGAAAGAAATAAGGTTCTAAATCCATTTCTTTCACCTCTGTTTAAGAACTTTCCAGCTGGGCTGAAACCGGTTTGGCTCAGTGGTAGAGCATCAGCCTGCGGACTGAAAGGTCCTGGGTTCGATTCCGGTCAAGGGCATGTACATTGGTTGTGGGCACATCCCCGGTAGGGGGTGTGCAAGAGGGAGCTGGTCGATGTTTCTCTCTCATTGACGTTTCTAGCTCTCTAGCTCTCTTCCTTCCTCCTCTCTGTAAAAAATCAATAAAAATATATTAATAAAAAAAAAAAAGAAGAAAAGAAAAGAAAAGAAAAGAACTTTCCAGCTGGGAACTCACCACTTTGAGAGGCAGCAGTGCCTTCATATTTGTTCTTGTGGTAAATGTTTCTCCTGCATTAAATGTCTCTAGGTATTCACAGCATGAACGTGACATTTACAGTGTGCTCATGGTCTCTTGTCATTGTGTTTGGGCCCCGCCAAGGCTAGAAGTCCCTTCCTTTCCTGAGACTGTAATGAGGTGCATTCACTGCCCTAACCACTCTTACTAGATGTTCCACAATGAGTATTTGGTACAAGGCAACAACAAAAAAATAGCAAAGGAAAAATGTGTTAAATGAAGTGGCTGGGAAATTATCCTTACATATGATCTTGCTGTGCAGATCTACCCTGAGGTGGGGGATTTTTTTGGCCTAGAAGCAATCTCCAGAAGGCTTCCTGACCCCTTGAGAGAGGGTAAGGGTTTTTTCTATATCATCCTTTTCTTATCTCTGTCACAGTGCTATGACACTGAAGAGGTGGCTAGCTTCTGCCGCTAGTACATGCATATGCCATGTTTTGTTTGCCAATTTTCCAATGATCTCTACAGCAAAACAATAAGATTCTCAAGGGCAAAAATAATGTCTTATTTATTATTTTAGTGCTTGGTGCATTGTAGGCACTCAGGAATTATGTGCTAATGTTTTGGACTATATTGAATAGCTTTTACTGTTTTAAGTGCCGTGGATGGAAATTGAAGTCTGTTCATAAAAAAGCAAGAGATGGGTGCTAGAAAGAAGTCATGACTTTGCAAATCAAGAGTGACATGCAAAGGGTACTAAAAGAATTAGGAGATGGTCTAAACTACATGATTAAAATTAATAACTAATGTATAAGATTTCCATAAGGCAAGTAATCCTTGAGAGACAAACTAGAGCTATTGTAACATAATAAACTCACAATCTTATATTTGTGTGCTGATATCCACTTTTACATATTCTTATTTGTCCCCCAAAACAATTTGGTGAGACAGGAAGATAGTGGCACCACCATTTTGCAGACCAGAAAACTGAGCTTCGGTATGGATAATGACTTGATTGCTAAGGGATCATAGCTGGTGCTGGCATCAAAAGGATCACACCTAAAACAGTACTGTTTGAGCTGCACATATATCTGCCAAGTTGTGAAATCTGCTGTTATAATAACTGACATTTACCACACTAAAAAGTGTGTCTTTCCAGCAACCCTTTGAGGTGGTGGATGGGTGATCAAATTAAATGCTGTTGATGTAGGGTCCTGGTATTTCAGGATTGGAAAGAAACTTTAGAAGGGGCCATCTTTTATTCCAGCAACTCATTAGATACCTGGTTGCTCCTTAGCTCCCCAATGTCCCCTCCAGGTGGCCGCTATAATTGACATGTTAGTGAGGTGGCTCATTTCATCTTAAGTAGATAAGGATGCTGAAGAAAGTAAGCTAAATATGACAGAGGCTAGAGGAATAGGGTGGCTGTTCAGCAGACTGTGTCTGTTGTTTAGTGTCAGTATGAAGATGAGATAGAAGCCCAGGCTCTGAGTTGGGATTGAGAAAGTGAAGAATGTGAGGCAAAGGGTTGGACGGTGACTGGGAACACTTATTTGGGTTATGGGACCTATGGGTCATCCCCTCCCCTCTTTTCCTCTCCCGGGGGCTCCAAGCCTGCATGCTGAAGCTGGCACACTTTGTACTCCTGCTCCCCACGAGCTCTGGCCTCTGTGAAATGAAAAGTTAGGACTTTCCAGTAATCAATATGCTTTTGTTATCAGATCTATTGGTCAAGTTATGGCTCTTAGGAGTTTGAATCTTTAAAAGATGTTTATGGCTTGACCTGGGTTGTCTTGCCATTTAAGAGTTTGCTAAGTATAATTGTCATACAGACATAGCCATAGTGGCCCAACTTATCTAACCCCAGAAGGAAAATAAGTGACATACATGTTTGTGAGACTCACTTCTTACCATCTAACAATGGACTGTAACAACCAACTCTGATGGACACTGGCATGTCCCTCAATCTATGTAATGGCTAGTTGAAGTGCAATATACTCTGATGGACACTGGCATGTCCCTCAATCTATGTAATGGCTAGTTGAAGTGCAATGTACTTTTAAAGAGCCTGATATAGCAAGAGAGAGAAACGGTGAGTGTCACAAGACCTACTAGTAAACTCTAACTTTAACTATGGTGCCAATTTGATCATGACATTGAGCCAATGAGTCTGGGGACCCTGGTCTAGACTACCGGGATTCTGTTATGTTAATTCTTTACTACTGAAATAATTGTATTCCAAATCTAGTTTAAATGTCAATTCACCCTCTCATACACATACACATGCAGTTAATCTAGGGAACTAATCATTCTCCAAAGCCTACCTTAAATGTCCCTTTCTCTCATTTATAAATCCACTCAACAGTTATTTATTGAGAGCATATTATGTGCAAGATTCTGAGGTTGTAGCATCAAACAAAACAAAGACCCTACCTTCCTAACCTTGCCTCTATGTCCCCAGAGTCCTGTCTGTAATGGAATCTCTTTCCTTTGCAGCCTGTAGTCCAGTAACTTATTCAATTGAATGAAAGGGCAAGTGCTTGTCTCTCCAGTCCTTCCATTTCTGTCTAAGTCAATGACCCAAGTTGTACAACTCCCGAAAGTACATGCAGCAGTAGTGTCAGGGATGGCAGAATTGCTATGGAGATTTTTCTACTAGTGCAGCAACTGCCAGAGCTTGTCAACCTCACATAAGATATAGGAACCTCATAGAAAAGTATAGCCTTCCAAAGTCTCATATGCTCCATGCTGATAACCGAGCCTTTGCTGCTGCTGGAATCCAGCATGTGGTGAGGAGGAAGGACATGCGTAGTCAGAAGAATCATATGCCTCACTAAGAATTCCCACCGACAGGAAGCACACGTGTCTCCTTTCACCTGCACACGGGCAGCAGGCATTTCCTGGCCATTGTTCCAGGGGCCGCTGCAGCGCTATTTCCGTACAACAGTGAAGTGGGGCTGGAGCTGGCCAACTCTTACAGGTCTGACTTTGGTGTGCTGCTTACCCAGGCCAGCATCACAACGTCTGGGGAGCCAGATTCAGATTCATCTGACCAAACTACCTTTCACGCTATTAACAACAAGAAGACTTAGGAAAGAAGATTCTCTTGTAGAAATCTTCAAGAAACACAGCAACCCCACCTGCTTTCAAAAACACATGCTTTCATGCAGGTTTATATATATTTATTTATTGTTATTAAATATATTTATTTATTGTTTTATGGGGGTACTGTGGCCTGAGGACAGTTTATTCCTGGGAACTAGCTGCCATGAATTCATGTACCATAGCTGGACTCAGATGTAGACACCACTGGCCCAGAGATATAGAATGTTTCTCCATGATTTATTGGGGAGAAATTTGATTCTTGAAAGTTTAATGTGGAAAGGAGAAGTTTTGGATGGTATAGTGAGTTGGGTGTGTATGCTTGATAAGGGTGTCACATGTTTTTTTATTGTGAGCCTCAAAACTTAAGCTCTGTTTTCAGCAGCTGGTTGACCTCCCCTGGGCAGCTGCCCTTGCTCAGTGTATCATGCTCCAGTATGTCATGTCTCCATGTTGATTAAAGGTCCCGTTCTGCCCTTTTAAAGTGAAAGATATGTCTACAGAATGAAAGCAGGGAAGTATAATAAGACTGAGCTGGACACTAGTAGTTTCTCTTTTTAGAAATACCAAGTAGTAATTGCAGCTTCTAAGTCTGTATTTATTTTGTCCTCTCTCCTTATGCTTGTTTTCAGATGACTGGGGCAAGGGATGGTGGACATTGTTAATCATTTCATTGCTCAAACACCATTCTGGACTCCTCTACAAGAGGGTTCTCAGAATAAGCACCACACCCTACAGAGCCCCTGTTCATCCACGCTCTCCACTTGAATAAGACAGAGAATCATTTCAGACAGCAATCCCCATCCCCACACCTTCTGTGCAGGAACTGTTCATAACCAGGGTCCAGGAGGAGGTGGCATCAGATGTGGCTGCAGGGAGAATTAGTGAGTCCTCATGAAAACTTTCTGTTATCCCCTCAGTGTGGGTTCTGCCATGATGACCGTTCCAGTCGCTGAGCTTGGATGAGGCCAGTGAATTATGTACAGTGTAGAAGACCTCCTGATTTCTCATGGATACAAGCCGTCAAGAGATCTTCCGGCAGAACATGAGGGTCGCCAGCCAGCAAGGGCGAGAGAGAGAGTGGGCCGTGGCTTGGTGAACGGATGTGAGGATGGCCCTGCTGCCTTCCTACACAATAAGGCATCCCTGGGGACAAGACATGTGAGTGATTCTGAAAATGAGCACCATGCACTGAGAGCCCGAGGAGAGCCCCAGAGCGCCTCTGCTGCCAGGATGTCTGAGGAGGGGTAAGTGCGCACCCACCATGTTCTGACTTGGGGTTTGGCAGTAGGTATGTAAAAAAAATCCTCCACTCCTTATAATTGGCTGGGGTGGTGTGTGTGTGTGTGTGTGTGTGTGTGTGTGTGTGTGTGTATGTGTGTGGGATGGGCTGAGGGACAAGAATGCTGCTGTCCGTTGAGGTACCGGGATGTTCCAGTAGCACTGAGCACAGGGCCAGGCCATAGTAGACCTTCAACAGGCAGTGGTAAGGAAACAAATTATGTCCTGCTAAATACTGCATTTCAGTACTCGGCTTCTCTTCTCTTATAATTTCTCGATATTGCCTCAGCAATCATTTAAAAACTGTAAAAGCTAGTTTATGTCAGGCACACATTCCTAGGCTTTCTTACTAATATGTTTCAGTATTTGGTATAGAGAGTTGAAAGAGGTTTGTGTTCCCCTCCGTTTGTGAAGAACACCTTTCTCCTTATGAATCCATATAATCCCACTGGCTCCGACCCATGCTTTCCTTGCACATACTGGCCCCCAGGTGGGTCCCATCTGAGTATAGCTGCAACTATGGGTGTTTGCTTACACTAACAGAAAAGGCCGGGTTGGCTGGGGGTGTAGGAGGGTTAAAAAAAAGGGAATTTCGGCAGCTTGCCACAGAGCCAGCATGGGAGAGGAGCCCTGCAATCTCATCCAAGCCGTTTGACCTAGAGGAAACCTTTGTCATCACTTCATAAAACTGTTTGTCTTTAACGCTGTGTTGAGACCAAGCTCAGACCAGGGAAGGAGGGCTCTGCCTGTACTGAGCATCTTATGAAATTATATGTAACTGGCAGGAAATGGACCTGTCTTTAAGGGTAACAAACAAGCACACAGAAAGGGGAGTGAATAAGTCTAAAGGGGCTGAACTAGCCTTTAATGGTTAGAAGCACCTTTTTTTTCAGAAAGGATCTCTTTTGTTTGTTGACAGCTTTCAGGCAAAAAGTGGGAGGAATTTTGTTCTTACAAAGAGCACCTGACACCTTGGTCATTAAGTAAAAGTGAAGGTGATCACCCCTCTTCATGCCCAATTGGTAAAAGTAGGTTTGTGTGGACAAGTCAGACCATTTCTCTGGTTGAGGAGAAGAGTTATCATTGTTGGAACCAGGTCGGGGAGGGCGGGGGGGACCCAGAATGGAAAAGAACTTGACACTACTCTCATATAACCTTGCCCTTCACAAATCACACTTGTGTCCATTGCTCTCTTGAGCTTTAGTCTCTTTTGAGCCATTTCCCTGAACTTTGGAAGAGGGTGCTTATGGATGTGTTGGCTGAGAATTAAACCAGCTTAGTTACTACAACACAGATTTGCTTATCTGTATGTTCTGCCTTATATTTCAGGGTCCAAAGAGTGTTAGGCATATGAGGCATTTATTGTAGGCTCGTGATTCAATTCATTCTTCCCACCATTGCAACAACTGTTGAGAAGCAGAAAGTTTAGTTTCTAACGAGGTACTGACAGTGGCTGTGGAATCCCTGGAATGCATGGCTGTGGAATGCATGCACCATATAGGCTGTGTGCAATCTCCCCCAGTCTTGAAGGTCTAGATCAGAGGTGAGAATTGGGTTCCCTGAGTGGGAGGTGATAGAATCCCTAGGTTCTGTGTAGGCAGTGTGGCTCCTAACCTTCTCCATAGTTTGCTCGGGACTTTCTAGCCCCTTTGTGATAGCAGGCTCCTAGGATCTGTAGGTGTCTGGGTATCACCTTGTCTGCCAGAAGTCTTTCCTTCTGACATCAGTGAAGTGCCCAGATGAGTGGCTCATGTTACTCTGGGATGTCTTCATAAGGATGACAAATCTTGACAGGTCTGGCCTCTTCCCCCTATTCTGAGGCTGACTGATTAACTTGGGAGTTGTATACTAGTTCTGGGATTGAAGGTTGCCTGATAGGGTTGAAAGAGAAAATGCAGAGGGAGAGATTAACTGGGGAACTCATATGCATATATATGCATAGTCCATGGATACAGACAATAGTGTGGTGGAGGCCTAGGAGGAGCAAGTGTAGGGTAGAGGGGGTCAATGGAAAAAGGGGACATCTGTAATGCTTTCAACAATAAAGGTAAATTTAAAAGAGAGAGATAGAGAAAATGTATAATATATGCTTACAGATATCTGTGCCTGTGCCTACTGCTTCAGAGACCAGCTGCGTTGGGTTGTAATAAAATTATGTATTTTGTTTGTTGGCTTGTTTTTAAGTAGTCAATAGAGAACTGAAAACAGGAGGTGAACAGGAAGGTGGGCAGAAAGAGGATTATTTTTTCTCATCAGAAAAAAATGTGCTTTGGGAGAAAATAAATAGGTGCTAATAGCTAACAGCTTAAAAATTAAAAACAAGGAAAAGGAAAATTAAACCAATAATACTTTGGCGTCCATAAATTCTGAGACTGAGTAAATAAATGATAGCGGGCCAGATACCAGCCTTGAGTCACTGGATGAGTACAGCGGTGGCCCTGCAGCCTGGCCTGTCCCATAGGACCCTGCTTGGTCTGTGGGGAGAGGTGAGGTCCAGAATGTCCTTGTGCAACTCCAAGCCATTAAGGTGACTGGGAAGTGTCACAAGGGCTTCTCCTTCCTGTAGTTTCTCTGGTGGGTTGAGGTCCACCCTAGAGTGGGTTCCCACACTGCAGCTGTCCTTAGCATCCCACTGACTTCCGTGGAAGATGGCCGTCATAGTCTTTTGGAAGACCCTGGGGCTGGACAGAATCGGTTTGTTTTATTCTGGCAGGATGGTGATGAAGGCATGCTGGCAATGTTGATATTTTATAGCCAAAGAACGTGAAACCCAGAAATGTCGGTGACTTGGCACTGGCCACTGGAAGCAGTGGAGAGGAGCTGCCAGGCTGGCTGCTAGGTGCCACTCTGCAACAGTATGGGGCAGTGAGGCCTGCCCTGTCTGGAAGGGGTACTCAGTCCTGTGCGTGCCTTTCACAGTTGCTCAGTGCTGGACCGTCCTTTCTCACTTCCTTGTCCTCTGCCCTCCTAACAGCTCGAATGAATGTGAAACTGTTCTCAGAGCCCAGCTACGCCCCTTTCCTGACTAGAGCTGAGTAAGGAATACTTCCTGTCACCCCTAAGTTAGAAACAGGTACATCACTCTGCTGCTCTGCATACAGTGCTCAGGGGTACATAAATTAAGTTGGGATTGCCCATAATCTGGAGTGCAGCGAGAATGGTTAGCATTAAGTTCTTCCCTCTGATTTTTAACATCATCTTAGAATAGAGTTTATGTAAGGGCTGGTAATATCAAGTAAAACTTAAAAGAATAAGAAGAAGAGGAAGAGGAAGAGGAAGAAGAAGAAGAAGAAGAAAAAAAAGAGTACAGGAGCCTTATCCAGACTTCCAAACACTCAGGTTATGTATTTCCTAACTTGCTGAAGAGGCTATGCTTCGAGTTTCCAGGATCATTAGATCAAGTGATACCGAACACCCAGCATGGGCCAAGAATGACAGTTCTGTTGTGAGGAGAGGTGAAGGACAGACTGAACTTGCTAAAAAGCTCTTATGCTCAAGCAGTGGAGCCAGGACCAAGAGTCCATTCTATTTTATGCAGTTGTTTATCCAAACTGATGTCTAGAGAACTATTGTTTTCCAAAGCTACATTCAGCTTGTTGCACTGGCCGTCTCAGGGCTGGTAACTTTACAAGCATATAAAGCACAAATAATGAACTCTGACCCTGATTGTGTGACTCCCTGCCCAGGAGCCTTCCTGGCCCCATTGCCTGCGTTGCCAACCCCCAGCTCTTTCATGGTTCCTGCTCTGAGCAACACGTGTCTTTCCTACATCCTCTTCCATTTCCAGGGTGTCAGCTACATGGATACCATATGCTCCCCACTCTTTAAGCCCTGCCCAGAAGCCCCCAGAACCCTCTCCCCATCTTCCCCGGAAACTCACCTTACCAGTTTGACTTTTTTAGCTTCCTCCAGTTGAAGTTATGCTCCCCTGTGTTCTTTGTACACTTTCTCCTAGTCCACAGGATCATCAGCTTTCTGAGGGCTGACACCATTCTCATTCATCTCTGATTTTGCTAATTCCTGTTAAAGACTTTTGCATTTATTAAACACTCAAACATCTTTCAGAAATACATTGAATGAAACCTAGTCCTTTTATGGCAAGGCAGTTATGTAAGTGCTGAGTGCTTCATGTCATTGGCTATGAAAGATGGGAGATGGAGAAGGTTTTGACAGGGAGAGGAGCTGTGTGAGGCTAGTTTGGGGAGGTTCCATTGTGAAAGGAGGCGTGTCAGCTTTCTGTGCTGGACAGTTGAGGTAGTAATGCTGATGGCTTTGTTTGGACCCACTAACTCTTGGGGGATGAGCTGGGCAGTAGGGATGAAGAAATAACTGACTCAGAAAAACTCCCGCAGGCCCACTAGCCCTGGTGGTAAAGTTTCCTTTGTCAGTGAAGTCTGCAGGTACAGGAAGCTGAGCCCACCTGAGTGGACAGTGGGCAGTTGTGAATGTAATAGGAACTCTCATGGACCATCCACAGGGAGGAAACATAGACTCACAGGCCCCATTCCATGTCACTGGATGAGTACAGCAGTGGCCCTGAAGCCTTGTATGTCTAGATCAGAGGTGAGATGTCCACTGATGTCTCTCTAGGTTGCAGTTGCCCCCTGGGGGGGGGGGCTCTTTGGGTCTCTGTCCCACAATGTTGCTGTTTCTGCATCTCCCTGCATTCTCCCTCCTCTGCTGATCAGCCTTTTCCCTTCATAGTAAGTTACTCTTCCCAGGAACTTGGGCTCACAGTTGGTGACTTTTGTTCTCCTTTTGCTTCTACATCATGGTTTAACTCCAGAGCCCCTGATGATCACTGCCATTTCTCTTAGAATTTTAAGAGAAAGAATGATAGTTTTGGGCAGTCTGGGGATGCTATGGCCAGCCATTAGGAGCAGGGAAGGGGCAGGATAGGGGAAGGGAGGTTGGACAGGGGAGTCTGAGCTTTATCCATTGTGAGTGGCGGGGCTGTAGATGAGAGCAGTTTCCAGGCTGGGTGGGGCACTAAACCCTGTCCCCTTCACAGACCATTCATTTAGTAGCTTTAAACACTTGGCATTTCCCCTTTGCATCACTGACCCCATAGAGCTCTTCTAGAGGCTAAGCCACGCCTAAGTTTTCTCAATGAACAGATTTTAATGCTGAAACTGCCTGAAGGCTTTGCAAGAAAGTCCCTCACGTGCTACAGAAGAAAACCTCACAGGCCATGTCAAACATCACTATGGTAATCCTACGTGTATAGCTAGAAAACTAGGAGTGTCTGTAAAACAGCACCCAGTCAGCATTCTATAGATCAAATCATTTAGTGCTAGAGTTTTATTATGTCCTATTTTTTGCCATACAATCAACAACAGATACTTATAAGTGACATCTCTGTCCTCTTGCAGCAATAGAAAAAGGACGCTCCTGAAAGCTTCTGTTTACATCTGTGTTCAAAGATTATAATGAGAAGTATTCCTTTAGTCCATCAGTTTGCACTAAGTTTAACTATTTATGCACATACTATTTTGTTCCAAAGCTTGCTTGCCAACACACACCCACACACCCACACACACAGATTAAGGAGGAAAGGAGGAGACAAAGGAGAAAAGCTAGCTGTTATCTATACGTGGAGGAAACTGCTGCTTAAAATCCAAGTAGCCTATAACTACCATTAAACTATATAAAAGACTGTTATCAGGCATTCACGGTTTCCTTCATGTTTCCTTTGAAACATTATAATCAGAGGAAACTGTAAAATAAAGTAACAAAGCAGAGATTTGAATCTAAAAGTGACACCATAATAGGTTCTTCTCTGTTAGCCCCAGGAATTCTGGTAAAAATTTTTGTTAGTTAACCATGAGAATGACTTGTAATTATCTCTTGCCATCAGCGGCAGTTTTAACTAATTAGAGACAGAGCAAGCTAGGAGAGTCTCTGATGTGGTAATGACCTGGGGTCTCATCTTGGGAGGTTTATATTTGATCAGTAAACATCCACTCTAGCCAGTGCTACTGGATATAGTAAACAGTTAACTTTCAGAGGCTTTTTAAGCTTCTCTCAAATCATATCCTGCTCATAATGGTTTTCCAAAAAAGGAATGCTGCAAGTTTAACATCTGTTTCTATGTAGCTCTTTCTCTTTACAAAACCATACTTCCACAAACATTACTTGTCTTTAAGCTGCTTGCTTCATATCCTAAGTGTTAGGTGTTGTTATTTTGACCACTTCACAGAGAAAAGTCAGAATTGTTTGAGCTGTTGTGCTCATGAGCACAGATGAAGGTTCGGACTCCTGTTTTTCCCATTGTCTCTTTGTAGGCCCTCTCCTGAGGTGCGTTGTTTTTGTTCATAAGCAGTGTAAACCCCTGGAAGTGCCGGGACCCTAGTTCTCTCTCCTGCACACACTTTTATGTTGCTTTACAGTCATTAGTTTTTTCCCAGCAGGAAGCAGGTCGGGCCCTGGATCATGAGACTCCTGGGAGAGCAGTGATGAGGAAGCATTTCCAGAAGGGGAAGACTTCAGCAGCGCAGCCTAGAGCTTCATTTGTATTAGTCGTGTCATCATCAAAAGGATAATTATTAGTATTGAGTTTATTCTTTAGCTGGGGCATTGGGTTAGTTAGCCAGTTGGGAAATACCCAAATGAGAGACACTGAATAGTAAAAATATGAAACATGGGTCTAAAAACGAACCGAGTGGGTCTTCAGTTCCAGTCACTTTGTTTCAAAGATGACTGCAGCTGACCATTGAACAACATGGATGTGAATGCAGGCTCAACCAACTCTAGATGGAAAACAGTATTTTTGATTAGCAGCTGGGGATCTGTGGATGCAGAGATTTGAAGGTATGCTTTGTTCTACTCCATTGTACAGAAGGGATTTGACCATCTTTGGTATGCACATGGGTCCTGGAAATGATTCCCAGAAGATACCAAGGGATGACTGGAAAGTAAAACATACTCAGACTTTTGAGCTCAGAGGGATTGACACCGCCAACCTCTGGGTTGTTCAAGGGTCAACTGCATCCCTCTGAGTTCTTAACAAAGTACACGGAGCCTAGACAAGAGTCTAGCTGATACACTGACATGTACCAGCTGTGGGACCTCAGGGCTTTAGTCAGCTCCCCTGGGTGCAGTGTCCTTGTCTGTCTGTGGAGAGAATGGGGACTGGTTCTTTACAGACACTCAGGCTTTCTGGTTTACTCATCTCTGGAGGCTACCTCTCCTGCTTTTCACTGCTCTAAGCTTACCTTCCAAAGAGGGTCAGAGGCACAGAGAACACTCCATAAATGTTCATTGAATAAATGAATGAATATATAAAAATGAGGGGTGGTGATAGAAACATGAAAGGGAAGTGAGAAACTAGGATATGATTTTTTTTTATTATTGTCTATGGTAATAGTGTATGGACTATACTAGTGAAGATATTTTAATTTGGTAAAATATAATATATCCTTATTAAAGAAAAAAATAGGAAAATACTGAAATAATCTTCCTTACCTATTGGATATATGTGAGAGACAGTGAATCATAGTTTGCTCTTCCTGCTTTGTTTTCATAAACTAAATATTGGTTTGTTCTACATCATCATTGTGGAAACGGGTGTAGCTCTTCCTTAGAGACCAGGCAGCACCGGAGGGACAGAGTCTGTTATGACAGTCAGCTATATCATTGTTTCCTGTGATTGTGAAGGCCTATAGATTACAACCTAGTGAAAGACAATACAGATCTAAAATAATCACCACGTTGAGACAAACAGTTCTCCTCTCCTCTCTGTGCCCCTCACCCTCTTCCTTGGACATTGTGAGGAAAAGAATTTCAGAATTATGTACTCCATCAAGAATTTATTTTCATTGGATTAACAATAGTAATAATAACTACACAGGAGTTTATTAGACACTTTGCTAAACAGTTAAATGTATTATTTCATTAATCTTCTCAACAAACTTCAAAAGAAAGGAATTATTACCATCTCTTTAAAAAAATGAAGAATCAGTGGCAGAGAGAGGTGGAGTATGTTTCAGAAGGCATACAGTTTGAACGTGGTGTGTTGGCATTTGAGCCCACGACATCTGGCCAGCGCCCAAGGCAGATGCCCACTCTTTCCCGGCAATATTGTCACACTGCTCCCTGCTGGTGCGTTGAAAGCTTGAAGTCACCCATGGTCTCATAGCCTGTGCAAGTGCCACAAGCCTTGGCTGGCTTTGAGGGTTGGCTACATGCTCACTGGGTTTCCCCCTTCCCATCTCCCCCCTCCCATCTCCCAGGCCTGACTGCAGGCACCGTCTTTTCATTCCACTCTTATCTATAAGCCCTTTCTTCCTAAAGCTTGGAGATTTGTCAGAAGATGATTAGTAACCTGTGGTAAATGCAGGTGCAGCCACCAAGCACTCAAATGAGGAGGCCCACATCTTAAAGGAGGAAAAAAAGGCATTTGCCCTGACTTTCACCTGGGTTTTACCTGCAGTGAACTGCAAGTCTAGTAGTCTCCACCAATCAGTGCCCTTGTTCTGACATGACCCTCTGTTCTTCACTGGCTCAAGGAGGCCTCTACATCATGATGGTACACAGATGATGTTTTATATAGATGGTTATTTACACAGTAAAGTATATTGAATATAACAAAGCATACTGAAAAATCAAATAGCAGGTTTCCGGCACAAAAAGCATTAAGAGAACGTTCTGTAGCAATAGGTAGCTGACCCTATCACAGAAATATGTCAGACATCTAACACTGGGGCTGGTGAATATGAGTCACTCTAAAGAGATGTCTCCACACCTCTGCCCATCAAGAGGGAGAGAGTTTCTTTGAGGAGTGTGAGGTTCTTTCGGTGGCAGGTGCTACCTTTATGCTCAGGTTGTGCATCTGGATAACACTGACTGACCCATTGGAGGGGAGCACCTTTTGAAGAAATGACTGCAGTGAAGTGCAGCAGCCCACCCTGGTCCAGGACGTGATGCCAGTTTGAAGGCGATGGCAGTGCCAGCATCTGCTAGGTGGCAGACCTGCAGCTGGAAGAAGTCACTGGGCCTGGGACCACTTTAGTGGGGCCTCCCACACTCCACCCAGACCTCACAGGGAAGCACGGCTGATTATCTGGGGTCTGCCCAAGGGAACTAGATTCAGGATTTTGTTCATGGAGGAGGGAGGGCATCTATCCCATGCCCACTGGCAATCGGGTACAGAACTAGATGTAGCAAGTTGGTATAGCAACTAAGGATCTTGAAGTCCACTGAAAAGGTAGTCCTGGAGTGTGTGAAACCCTGGTTAAAGTCATTCAAATATTGCCATTCTAATTAGGCTTTTACTTTTAAAAGAAAGGCAATATTGTGGTTGGAAATGTTTCTTAATTTTTTCATCATTAGCTTTTATATATTCAGTGACTAGGTTTACCTGTTTTCCTTTAGACATGTTGTTTTTCACATGTTTATATTTCAAATATTTTCCAAACTGTTTTTATCGGTTGTTTTGTTGGTATTGTGCCTCTTTTCTGTGATAAAACACGGAGTTGTTCGCAAGTGTAACTTCTGTCTCTCTCTGTCCTGTTCTCCCAGGAATTCTGTATAAAGACCTTGTTTGTCTCATTGAACTTGTCAACACAATTTATTTGAGCTATCACATTCCACTCTGCTTCCCTTATCGTTTTCCCACCCTGTATTACTGTGTTTTTGTAAAATGTGCCATTGTTAATATTTTTTAAATGTAAATTATTAGTTTAATTTTTTAAAAAGAAAACTTTTATTTGATCATATTTCTTCAAAGATATTAGAAAAAATATTCTTGGTTTTGAAGCCATCTGAGGTAGCACACATTTTATCTGGTAATAGACATTATATATTAAAGCCAATAAATATCTACCCTTGGTAACTTGTCTGAAGAAGAAATTTATCAGAACTATCACCATGTGGGATTCTCTTGTGCCTGTCCAAGCCGGGTCATACTAGGTACAAAATAGATATTTATCAAATAAATGCTTTATTGTTTTCTATGTTATATGAATTATTTTTTTAAAATAGATTACTTAAAATTTCCCAGATAACCTATGTTTTCCTTAAATTGGGATTTAGGTTCATTGTGCAAATAGAAAAAGTTTAACCCAGATGCTTAGCCATTTTGATGAGTTGTATATGATAGTTTTGACAAAGTTAAGGTGACAATGTAAGATTTGGGGGAGGGGAAGAAAACTGTCACATTACTTGTGTTGGTAGTTGTAGTCTGTTGATATTCTTGTCCTATTTATGTCTCTTTGTCTTCTGATTATGCTCATGGCACATAGAAAGACAAGTACCACCTTGGAATTTCAGCCACCTCTTGGCATTTAGGTCCACCACGTGTTTACCGAGAAACCAGAATACCCACTGAGAAAATGAGCAGAAGCCACACAATGTGGTTTCTTCATAAAGTCGTACACCCCAGAAAAATGTTTGTGAGAGTGTAAGGAGCACGAAATGTGTTCATTAAGGCTGTGTGGTGTACGGAGCCCGCTCATCGCCAGCTGAAGGACAGAGGCAAGAAAGGAGACTCTGATGGAGGGCGTCAACCACATACTCCCTAATGATTTATTTCACTCTCTCTTATTTGGATCTTTGACAATTGAAACTTATTAAGTTCTAGTTTTTGTCTTGCCTTTGGACTTGCATGGAGTTTACCGTAATACCCTAAACCCAGTAGGTGCTAAGAACTTTTAAATAGTTCATCTTCTACAGTGTTTCTCAGGCTATGGGTGAGAGTCACCGAGGATTTCCTAAGGGCTTCCAGAGCTTTGGAATGTGATTGCTGGCTCACCTGAGTGGGGAGAGGTGTGCATGTGCAATGACTAATCCTTATAGAACCCGACTCATGAAGTGTTCTGCTAAGTACCCAAACCTAAATGTTCAAAACCTGATTTTGATGACAACAAAAGCAGCAAAGAAATTGACCTTTAGCCAGGTCCAATGTTAAGACAGGTTGCACTGTGTATTACAGTAAATGCAGAAGCATTTAGGCTGCTCCATGGAAAATGCTTTCTTTCAAGTTGATTTTAAATATTTTCTACTTTTTCAATCCATAATTCAGCCTTGCTTTAAATAGTTGGTTAACAAGTTATCAGGGGTGGTAATAGAGATAGAATTTGAAGAACTTCCTCACTTTTTAAGGCAAAGGAGTGATTCCAACATAATAGTATTAATAATAATAATAATAATATATTTTTACTATTCGTTTACCGTTTAGGCTCCTGTAGAACAGAAGCCTTCTGCTTATTTGCTGGGAATAGACCTCCTCCAGCCCACTCCCCTCAGCTGCCCCGTTCCTGGGCCTTTACATGCTGTGATTGCACAGAGCTCGTGGCCTAGGAGCTTCTCCCTATTTTTTGTCAGCTTCACTCTACTGTGCTATCAGCTGAAAAGTGGACCGTGTTGTAGAAATTGTTTCAAACTACAAATTACAGGTAGCCACATGACAAAACATGAGCCTTACTAATGATCAAAGAAATGCAAATCAACATCAATGAGAAGTTATTTTCACTTACTTAGTAATAAAACAGAAAAGATTGTAATAACCTGAGATGGGAAAGGTTCAGCAAAGCCAGCTGTCCTCTGAACCACCTGAGGGAAGGTAAAGGGGAGTGGCTAATCTGAGGTTGGATTTGACAATGTGAATAACATAATGCCCCTGCTCTGCTACTCATTCCTTTTCTAAGGATTCATTCTAAGTAATAATCTGACATATTAGTGTTTGTGAACAATAATTTTCTCAAAGTGCTTTCGAGTGTAATCTACATAGATATCCAACAGTAGTTAAATAAATCATGGATTTATGATAGAATACAAATCCATTAAAATTATTCACTTGAGGAATTTTTCATTACATTGGAAGAAGTAAAACAGAGTGGCTAACTGAATGGGCTTTATGGTTGCACTCCTTGGGTTTGAATTCTTTCTCCCCTCTACTTACAAGTTGTGTGATTTGGGAGAGTTGTTTAATCTCTCTGTGCCTCAGTTTCCTTATATATATATATATATATATATATATATATATATATATATATATATATATATATAAAAGGGAGAAATAATGGTGGTTATAGAGTTAATGAAAGAATTCATTTGGCATGCTTTGCAGAGTGCTTGACACAGCATAAATGCCCAATCAATGTTAAACAAATTAACTTTTGTGCCTCAGTTTTTTCCTTTGTAAAATATGAGTGAGAGTAGTCCTTCCTCAAAGAAGTGCTGGTGATGCTTAAGTGAGTTTATGTCTACAACACACTTAGTATGAACCTAGCACATAGTAATAGCTAGGTAATTGTTGGTACTATAAGTGTTAAGAAATCTATATATATAAAGAGCCAGGGTTGTAACATCCAAAACAACCGAAGACTCGACCAAATGCCAGGCTGTGCGCACAGCAGGTGAGCAGTTGAACTGCTGACCTCTTGGAGAGAGAGAGAGGCAGGGCTGATCAGCAGTGACAGCAGCTGCTAGCAAGGCCCAGAGAGAGAAGTAGGGTGATCAGACCCTGCTTCTCTCTCCTGGCCTCACCAGCAACCAAGCCCCTCTCTCTCTCTCTCTCTCCCAGAGATCAGCAGTTCAGCCCACTTACCAGCAGCCTGGGCTGGCTGCTGATCAGCCCCACCTCTATGTTCAGGCCCAGAGATAGACCCAGGGATGCTGACTGGCATAGAAATTGACCAATCAGAACCAAATCTGGGTGAATTGTGAGGAGCCAATGGCTGCCTAAGAGATGAAGCTTTTGATGCTGACTGACATAGAAACTGACCAATCAGAACCTACTCTGGGTGAACTGAGAAGGCAGAACCTAAGGTGGGGGCTGAGGAGGGGTTTTAAGGGCAACAGCTGTTTGGTGTAAGATGTAAGAAAGTGATTCAATTTTTAAATGAACATTTTTGCATATGGCTAGCTATCAGTCCAGATATAGGGATTATGTGTTTTTGTCTGCCAAGAGCATCTCCTCCTGCTGAAAAAAGGCTTCCCCTTCCATTTAAGCAATTCTATCCTTTATAATCTATCTATATTGCTAATTAGACTGGGTCCACTGGCCATCTTCCAGATGTCTGACTTCCTTCCGGACAAAGCCATGGTAGGGGGCCGAGGCAGAGGCAGTAAGGGGCAATCAGGCAGGCAGAGAGGTTAGGGGTGATCAGGCCACCAGGAGGGCAAGGTAGGGGTGATCAGGCTGGCATGCAGAGGAGTTAGGAATGATGAGGCGGGCAGGCAAAGAGGTTAGGGGCAATCAGGCTGGCAGGGAGACAAGTTAAGGGTGATCAGGCTGGCAGTTAGAGGGGTTAATGGTGATTAGGCAGGCAGGCAGGCGAGTGGTTAGGAGCCAGTCATCCTGGATTGTGAGAGGGATGTCCCAGTTTGGAGAGTTTGCAAGCCATGCTGAGGAACTCCCCTCCATGCACAAATTTCGTGCACCAGGCCACTAGTGTTCTCATAAACCAGATGCCTACTAGAATACTTAGGCTATTTGAAAATCCACATCCTTGCACACATACAGACTAGAAAATAACTGTCATATCAAAATAACTGACTCTCGATAGAACGGTTTTAAATAGTGTTTGGTAATTTACTTTTCCATATTTTTCCAAAATTTCAACAACTAATATACATTACTTTTATAATTTAAAAAGAAAACAACAATTTTAGAGTTGAAACTTTTTCTGCTTGACCTATGGTTAATCAAAATAATTGAGTGCCCCAAATTTCCTTTCAGTTAATGGTTTTTCTATATTAAAGTCCTAATTTCTGGTGGTTTGTAGGCAGTCACTTAATATTTCTGTAAGGTATAATTGTGTTCTGATTTTTTCTTCAGCTGCATTTGAACAGTGATCTTATTTTATTTAATTTATTTTTTAACCCTCACCCAAGGATATTTCCCCATTGATTTTTAGGGAGAGAGAGAGAAAGACAGAGAGAAATATCGATGTGAGAGAAACATATCAAGTGGTTGCCTCCTGCATGAGCCCCGACCAGGGCCAGGACTAGAGAGAGAGGAGCCTACAACCTAGGTACGTGCCCTTGTTCGGAATCCAACCCGAGACCCTTTGTCTGCAGGCCGACACTCTATCCACTGAACCAAACCAGCTAGGGTTGAACAGTGATTTTAAACTTTGGATTCATGGTAGACTCATTTGAGGAGATATTAAAATATAGTGGTCTTGGGCTCCTCAATAAACTGATTAGATCCAAATATAAGCGGGTGGGCCCTGGGCATTGACAGTTTTCAAAGGCTCACAAAGAAATTCTAATGTACAGCCAGGTGGTGAACAGCAACCTGGAGCTATGCTGGCATTTATACCAGATTGTGCTAACATTTTCTGCCTCGTAGATAGTTTTGCCCATGAACAGAGCCCCCTCTCAGTCTCAGAATCAGCCATGGGAGTATTTCTCACATGTCTGAAGGGAAGATTCCCTTGGAGTGCTTGTTAAAAATATTTGGTTGAAGCATCATCCTGTATACGAGAAGGTTGCGGGTCCAATTTCCTTTCAGGGTACATGCCTAGGCTGCAGATCTAATCCCTGGTCAGGGCGCACATGGGAGGCAACTGGTAGATATTCTTTTTCCCATTGATGTTTCGCTCTCCCCTGTCTTCTGTCTCTAAAAATCAATGAAAAACATACCCTCCAATAAGGATTTTAAAAACACACACAGCTGCCTGAATCCTAACCCACTGACTTCCAGAGGGAGAGACTTGGTAATGTGTATCTTTACTGAGCCCACATGAAGGAAGTATGGGAACTGAGCTAGAGCCATGGTTCTGTATCAGCCACTCACTGGGAATCCCTGGGGAATCTGGGCAAATGCTGTTGCCTAGTCCCCTCAGACCTCCACCAATCTAATGTGGTAGAGCTAGGATACTGCCTGAGCATCAGAAGCTGTGAAGTCCCTCCAGATTCTAACATACAGTCATGGTTGACAACCACAGGCAGTGATGATTCTCAGACTGGATGTTGGGACCAGTCTGAGAATCAGCATCACCTGGGGCCCATTAGAAATGATCACTATGGTCCACATATAAGTGAGAGCATGTGTTGTCTGCCTTTTTCTGACTAATTAGCATTATACCCTCAAAATTTATCCATGTTGTCCCAAATGAAATATTTTATTTTTCTTTTATGGCCCAGTAGTATTCCGATGTTTCTATATACAAACAAGAGAAAACAAAAACCAACTCATAGATACAGAGACCACGTCTGTGGTTACCAGAAGAGAAGAGGGTTGGGGGTGAGCCAAAGGTGGGAAGGGGATCAATCAATTATATGGCAATGGGTAGTGATTAAACTTTTGGAAGTGATAGCTTTGTAGTGTATATAGATGTCTAATTATAATGTTATATACCTGAAACTGAAATAATAATTAAAAATGTTCTTTATGGAGCCTCAGCAGGCCTGATAAATTAGAAACTGGGGATGGGACGCAGAAGCCTGGGCCTTCTCAGATTCCTGTTACACATTGAAGTTTAAGAACCACTGTGACAGGGTGGGGCTGTGAAAAGCAGATTCTCAGACTTGTTCCCCCGAACTCAGTGGTCTGGACTGAGCTGGGAATGGACTCTCGGTGGCCCAAGACCACACTTGAGAATCAGTGCCCTCAGGTTTATCCTTGTTCCCTTGGGCATTCAAAGTTATAAGGGCCTTGACATCTTTCAAGTATAACCAGTGTCCTAATGTCTGTGGGCAGCCTGTTGCTGCCATTCCTAGGCCCTTGGATGACAAAACATGTGACTGTCTTCCACCTATAATTAGTGGGATGTGTTTTCTTTAAAGTTGACAAGTACTCTAGTGGGGGACTATTTTTCAAAAGTTCTGTACCACATTTGACTTGGATCACTAGTCACAGAAGCAGTGTGTGTGTGTGTGTGTGTGTGTGTGTGTGTGTGTGTGTGTGTCTTCCCTTGGTGTAACTTCTGTGCCTCTTATTTTATAGGTTTTCTCATCAACCCAGGCTGGCGTGGTCCTCTCAGCATCAAAGTGGTCACAACCATGCCTATTGGAGAAGAGGACAGGAAGTCGGTGGCTTGCTGGCTCCTAGAGACCGAGAAGACCTGCAGGTCAGAGGAGTGGCCCAAGCCCAAAGTCTGCCCATCCACACGAGAGAGGGTTCATGGGAAGTTGGAGGAAGGACAGAGAATGTGATGAAGAAGGTGATTTGGGAAGAAAAGCTGAGAATGGGAGGCCCTGACAAGTGGCAGAATGTAAGCCTGGAAAGCTGGAACCAGACAAGGAAATTAGGAAGACAGATGTCTGATGGTGATGGGGAGAAACTGTTTCCCATTCTGTACCCATTCATGCGAGGAGAACAGGTGTTGAATTCTCAAAGTAAAGGGAAATCCCAGTCATTGCCTAGAGTTCTCTCCCCTGAGAGCCTGAGTTGCATGGAAATTCCAATAAGTGACGGGTATTTACCAGATGTTTCTAGAATGCCATTTTACCCAGATTGTGCACCAAATTTGGAATCCACAAGGAACCCTGAGAAGGGTGGCTCCTCTGCCCCCTTACTTTGGCCAAAATTTGGGAGACCCCTCAAGCCTCCCTCCTATGACTCCCACCAACACTCCAGGGCGGGAGTGGAAAACAGCGAC